AATGTTATCACCGAATCTTTAAATTTTACTCACTTTCAGATTTTTCTATCTTAGATTCATCTAATATTTGAATTAAATAAAAACAATTTTCAAAATATTTTAGTATTTCAAAACAAAATTATAATTTGTCAAAAATATAAAAAAGCGGGTTTTTTCAAGCAATTTTAAAGGATAAAAATAGATGTTTAAAAATGGGAGTAATAACCTTCTTGAAAAAGTCTCCAGTTAACAAACGAAGTGTGTGGCGTCGAGGTAAATTTTTTAAATCCGATTTCCTTCCGTTTTATTTTCAACCCTCAACCATTTGTTCTTTTTCCAACTCATTTTTCTCTCCCATGAGTCTCGCTTCTTTCCATTTTATATGAATTCGTTATGAGCCGATGCCACCTCCTCGGGAACTTTTCTTTTTTTTTTTAAATGAACATACAGATGCGACTCTCGCATTTTCCAATGTCGATTTAATAAGGGGAGAGAAATATTTCTCACTCAAGAGAATATTCTTGTGCAAATCTCCCTTGATACTATGAAGGATTTGAAATCTCTTTATACCCAGTAGAAAATTTCGGAAACAAATCTTCCCCTTTGACGACATCGAATCACAGTAAAAGAGAAGAAGAGAGAGAGAGAGAGAGGAAGAGAAATGCGGATTGGCGAAAAGAGCTGATAAAATCCCGCTAGCAAAAAGCACCGCACGACTGGGAAATTCATTTACTTTGGTGTGACGTTAATTAAAAATGTTCAGCGAGTAAAGAAAATTCGAGAGCACTTACCCGGGGATATCGATTAATAAAAAATGTTTTCTCTTTAACGAAGTTGGAGTACTTTATTTGTCAAAGTGTGTAAGATTATAGGATTGTATTAATTCCAGGAGATTTATTTTAATATTCGTTTTTTATTTGATTAATGTTGTAGTGTTGGGACTTTTCATTGAAGGACATCCGAATAATAGGAGAATACTGGTCAAAAAGGAATATTCATAATGGTAAGTTGTAATACTATATAGTTTTTGAAGATTAAAAGGTATTTGTAATTTACACAATCGAATATTATTCAAGAAAGAACATGCAGCATGGTAAGATTAAAAAGAATTTGTAATTTATACAATCGAATATCATTCAAGAATCATGATGCAGCATGGTAAGTTAAATTTTTGTTGGTAATTTACACAATTGAATATCATTCAAGAAAGAAGATGCAGCATGGTAAGATGAAAAAGTATTTGTAATTTATACAATCGAATATCATTCAAGAAAGAAGATGCAGCATGGTAAGATGAAAAAGTATTTGTAATTTATACAATCGAATTAAAAATTAAGGATCTAGAAGTATATACAGAGAATTGGTATCTATTTTGGATATATCCTCCAATTTTTTACCCTCCTCTCATGAAAAAATTAATAAACCCGTAATTTTTAAAATAACAAAAAGGATTTATTAATTTGTTTACCTAATTACATTATCGGCACCTAACTGCGATAATGTGAGTGAACTTCCCTCCAATTGAAATAGGCCAAGGCTGTAGTCATGTAATAAGGGCAAATTCGTGATTATACGAGGCTGTAATTCAAGTAAGCACGTGCACTTTAGCAGAATAATCCCCTACTATTCGAGTGTAGCACACATGGCACCTTGTGTGCGTGTGAGGATATTGATATAGATCCATAGGATGGGATGCACCTGATCGAGTGGGTACTTGGAGAATAGCTTTGGCCATTAAGGCAGAGCAGGAACAAGGGATATTGAGATACATGCCGTAGACGTAAACAGTGCAGTATAACCGTTCTATAATATATATACCCTTCACCTACCTCAGCAAGTTCACTACATTAGCATTCATATTTCAATTTCATAACCCTCAGGCTTGCATTTCAGAGGCCAAGTGCCTCACTTCAGACGGGAAAACCACGTACAAACGATTATTATCTAGCGGACACGTGAAAACCTATTACCACCTATATCGTCTCTTCTAGCGCGCGCGATGTAATCAACCGCTTGATTATCAGTTCCTCGCATAATTGCGCCTATTAAATTATCGATAATTATTGAATCGAAAAAACGCCTGTTTCCTTTAAGCGTTTAAGTGAAATTACAGGAAAATTTGATCTAATTGATACTTTCCAGGAATTACGAACAAAAAAAAGAATGAAGTAATTTTCCTTAACTGTTTTATTAAATTCCGTTAGTAATGCGCGTTTATTAGTTTCCTAATTGTCACATAAAATTTCTCCTTGTTAAACAAAATTATGTATACCTATTTATTTAATTTTTTCCCTGAACAGGTTTTTTTTTGTTTTTAGAAACTTGTCCCAATTCGGAAGTTAGAAATAGTCATAAAAGGAGTATTTTAATAGTTTTCACATACCCGTTTAACATGCAATTTGCTAGAAACTTGGGCATTATATATAGACTGCAAATTGATCGACATTATTAAAATCTGATTAAGAAAGGGTTTTAATAAAAATGATTTCTCTATGCATAAAGAATTACTAAAATGTAAAGAGGAGACTCAGACGTTCACCTGAAAAGTGGTTTTTAGTTTATATTTCTCATTGTGCAGAATAAAGTTGTCACGGTTTTTCATTTCCGTTTAGTTCGTGTCCTCTTGGACAACTAGCGCCGTCGAAGTGGTAAAGGAAACAACTGTTTTATCGACAGGTTTGCAATTTTTCTGTTCGGAGAAGTTGATATAATTTCTAAAAAAAAAAAAGATTTTAAAAACTTTCAATCCATGTTACATGTTAAAGACTCCAAAAAATAAAATTGCAGAAACCAGAAGTAAATTACAGTAAAAGTTTAAGGCAATCGTAATAAAAAGAAAAGTTTTCAATCTCACTCCCCTTCTTTTTTCTTTAACCACGCATTGAAAAGAGCGTTTAAACGACCAGGGATCGCGTAAAGTTTCACCTCATAAAAAAGATTAGATACGTATCCTCATCCTTAGTGTGTGTATATATATATATATATATATATATATATATATATATATATATATATATACATAAGGTGTATATATGTGGGTGTAGATACCTGCGTTGAAATGAAAGTTGAGTGGGTAGGGGTCGAGGTGAATATAAAAGCCCTTCGCTTCGTGAAAGCTGAACGTGAGCGTAAAAAGCTCGTCGTCAAAAGCATCAACGTACATAAAGCAACGACGGCGCCCGACCGCTTCGCGTTTATTAAAAGCTCCCTGAAAAAAAAACGTTAACGCGCTTACAGCGGCTCTCTAGAGCTTCGCACGATACTTTCAACGAATCGCCAGAATCGATCCTTTTTCTCTCTCCATACATATACGTGATCTTTTTCTCTCCATCCCGAAAAAAAAGAACAAGAAAAAAAATATTGCTTTTACAAAAATTCGTGCATTTGAAACGAATAGGGGGAGAGAGAGAGAGCTTTTTCTTTTGACTTGTAGAGAGTGCTTGTGTTTGTCTGTATATACGTATATACGGGAAAGAGTTTGAAGGAAAATAAAGGTTCGATGGTCGACGTGGGAATTCAATTCTAATATTTTTCACCGGGAAGCTTCACTCGTTTTACAATCAGGAACACATAAAACTAGAAGCAAAAAAAGGAACAATCGTTGATTCTTTTTTTTTCATTTCCAAGGTATAAAAAAGGCCTTTCAGGGATTTTTAAACAAACCAATTCCCGAGATAAATAAATCGGTTGAAATAAAAAAGAATTAAAGCAAAACCTATTTTATTTCTGCAAAACGGAGCCAATTTTTTTTAGATTCCACATTCAATGGAAATTTGTTTTCAGAGGGAAAATTTCTGATGAAAAGAATATTTTATTAAAAAAAAAGGAAGATTAGCATTAGTTTTTCATTTTTAAGCTAATTTGTTGCTTTTGCGATAAAAAATTTGTTACTAGAATAACAATTTATTATTTTTAATGGTACTAAGCGGGATAATTTTTTCCCTGTGGTCGATAATACAGGTTGCATAGTTATCGAGCGAGTGATATGTGGCGCCGTCTGTCGAAGGCGTCAGGTACTACTGTCGTAAGACTTTTGCCTTCAAGGGCGGCTAGGGAGCTAGGCTTCTTGCAATCAGGAGAACTTATGAACCTATTTTCATCAACAATTACAATGTTAGGTCTGGCCAATCCCAAACTGAATAATTTTGCATAGAGAATAAAAAAAAATTTCCTATCGAAATAGTGGTATGGCAAACACCCGCATGAATTGACATGACCCCATATAAGCCATTTCTAAGCATCGACAATAAAAGAGTCTTTATTCGAATAATGACAGATTGAAATAAACCAAAAGTGCTGAAAATCAAGTATCGACAAAAGCGAGCACTTGACTGAATGGGCCGTCAAGTGGAAATATATGGCGTTGATTCTTGGGTGGAGTCACCCAGTGAAGGATGAGGGGAGTCCAAGCGCATTGAATATTCCCTCGTCGAAAAGTACACGTAGTACAACGTATACGTGAGAGCTCTCCAACAGTACTTATAAGCCGACATCATTATCCCGTGAACTCTCCTTCTCTCTTTTTTTTTCTCTCTCTCTCTATCTCTCTATGTATATATATATATATAGTCTCCACTAATCCTCGCGTTATCTCCCCTTTAATCTCGCGAGACCTTCTCTTTCGTTTCACCCTGCCACACAAGTCTGTGTAGATATAGAGCCCACCCTCAAAATCTACACAAAACCGTTCAGCGCCCAAGGAACAGTTGGGGGGGACATTCGTCACTTTACCAAAGAGAGTGGGGGGGTGGAAACTGTTGCAAACTAAGGGCGCGCCTGAAATTGAATATTAGCCCACAAGATTCTGAACAGGCCCTTAGGCAATATCAACCCCTCGACAGAAGGTCGACCCATAAAATTTACTTCATACTGAAACGTCCAACTTCCAAGAAATATGGAAACGAAAATTTCCTCTCTTTTCCAACCCTTGTTTATATGAAACTCGTTATTATACTCAAAAAAAACCAGTGAACCTTTTTTTTTCTTCTAATTTCCTCAAGTTCAAACTAAATTATACTCACATGCCTCTCTTCAGCTGGATTCAGACCTGCAACAAAAAGAAGAGAAATTAGTTTTAGTAAAAATAGTTTAGAGAAAAAAATATAATTTGATTTTGCACAGGGAAAAGAAAAAGTAGAGAAAGAGAGACTTTCTTCAAATACCGTAGTAAAAGGAGTCAGTGCTCTCGAGGATTTCTGAGAGTAGGTTGAGAGAGAGAGAGAGAAGGAGAGGAGAGTTTGAAGGAGATGGTTGGAGATGGTAGAGAATGAGGGAGACGGAAAGGGAAGAGTAAACCGAGGACACCATTATGGAGTGAAGGGATCTCTTCAACAGAGGCTTTGTCCTCACGTAGCGGAGTTCATAGTTTGCCCTCACTCGATTGCCCCCAACCACCAACCCCTTGTACCGGGTACACTTTGTCTCGTAAGAAATATCTCAACGATATCTTCGTCTCAATGGCACATACTAATAATATTGGTATACATTTTCCCTTTTTTATTTATTTCTTGAAAATGAATACAGATTTTTGCCATTGGGGTTAAAATTCAATATTCTCTATCAAAAATAGAACACTCAAGTTTGAAAAAAGATTTTTGTAATTTACCCAATCGAATACAATTTAAGAATATCTTGCATCTGGGTACAAGTTCCGATGTGTAGATGGCGCCCCTAACACTCTTCTACTGTTTCTATTTCTTTTAGAAAAAAAATTCTTTTTTTTCGAAATTGAGACACTTAATCACTTTTACGACAGAAGAGGGAAAAACGGTTACAAGATAAAGATAAATTGGATAAAAAAATGGACCTACCCAGTAGACACATCGTAGATATCCTCATCGTAACATGAGTGTTTTATATGCAGAGATATCGAGCTTTGGAATATCCCTCTGGATGTACACACGTCTACGTTTATATATCTAGATGTACCTATATCGTATAACTGGAGTTATGGCTTCGAGTTATGGAGCGTGGTTTTCCCCCTACATAGGGGGTATATATAGAAGGGTCGTGGAAAGAATTTTTCTCATATTTCCCGATTATTACGGACCCTGAGGTCTTCAGTGTGTGTATATATACATATATATTAGAAGAGATGAAAAAATAACCAAAGGAAGCATCAAATATCCCCTCTTTCTCTTCTTTTCTCATACCCTTAACCCGCTAATGTTCGTCATCCCCCTTTAACCATAGAAGTAACCCGGGGTATTTCAACCCCAAGGCTCGTAAACGGACACGGGAGAGCGCGCATAATTTTCTACTAAAACGCAAAGAGGTCGTTTCGTTTCAAGAAGAACGACTCTGGGGGCTTGATAGTATGTATCCAACTATATCGTTGCGGATTGAAATAAAAGCACGGTTCACAATTCGACGAGCAAGTCGATACTGGTGCTTTAATCGAACTCAACCCCGAACTCCATTAATCAATTACCGCAAGATGGGCTTCCAAGGAGAGAAAAAGTAAGTTCGAGTTGGATAACGAAATTGAGTTTACGTGCAGTGCAAGATAAGATTTCTTGATAAAACTTCATTGGCGCTTTATGTAATTCGTTACTTTGAAAAATCTCTCCAGAATCTATCTCTATTGTTATATCTGAACAGTTTTCCTAACATCCATATTTTTCAGAGTTTTCTCTAATCAAACATTGAGGTTTGTGCGTTGAGAGTCAAAACCAGTGTGCTTAACCACAACGACCGCAAGTCAAGACTTAATCCCAAAATCCACTTATAAAAAATAGTCCAATAATTCCCCATTGTGAATTAATTATTTTTATCAAAAATTTTCAATTATAAGCTTTATAATTACTAAGGGAAAAATAATTCAAAGTACATTAAATAAAGAAGAAAAATGAGTCTCCATTGATTAATTCGACTATTTAGAGACAAAAATGTCATCTTGAAGAATATTTTAATCTGTCTTCAATAATAAGATAGAGAGGGAGATGAGTTTGAATGAGAATCCTGAATTGAATTGACCTCCTGTTTGAAATCCGTGGTCTGAAGGAGACGCTGACGTTTTCATTATTTAGCTTGTCGATAACACCGTGAAATGAGAAATAACAGAGAGGCTGCCTCAAGTTATATGCGTAGAATAACGTAATTAGGAAACAGGAATGGAAGACTTCTTGGTGAAGGGCGCTCTCGTCTGCCATTGGCGTCTGCAGTAAATCAGATTTCAACTAGACTTTTCTTTTTTTTTTTTTTGCACACCCAGTCGTTTACTAAAATATCTCTAGACGTCAGAATTATAGTATTCGAATAACACCAATATTGGAAAACTAATATTTCCGTTAATCAGGAATATTGTCCGCTTATACCTTTACAAACAATAGAGCAGATAATATTTTCTGAATATTTCCCAAAAATACGTTAATCACATGAAACCAGGTCGATTAAACAATTTTATTTTACTTTGGCGACAAAGTTAATCCAAATTCAAAATGCATTTAACGTCAAAGTCATTCTAATGAAGATTTGAATTAACTTTGGTGACAAATTCATTTGGTTTCCGAATTAGAATTGAATTAGAAATGAATTTGGCGTTCAAGTCAATTTGGAATCTAAATGAATTTGGCGCCAAAGTCTAATTCCAAAAGAAAATGTACTTGACGTAAAGGCATTCGAAATCAAGTTAAATAATCGTCCCTCAGGACTCTTGTTGGATCTAGAAAAATTGTCTTAGATATAATCATCAAATCACTTTAGGAAGTCAACAGTACCATGTGGGTACCGACTTCCAAAAGTGATCTAATTATACCGATAGGAAAAAACACCAAAAAAATAAAATTTTATGACTCGATTGGCTACTAAAAATGCACTAATTTAAACACTTCTCTTGTAAGCGTACTTGTCAGCGTGAAGAGCGGATCCTCACTGACTAGTGCACCTCTGATCTCGTTCCTTTTATACCCCCCTCTCTTCAGGGTCTGGAATGTACAGGTAACTGCCTTTATGCCGTCCTTCCAGTTTGTACACTTTTATGAAAACAGTAGCATTTCTGTCACAAACTAATTAGTTCGTGGCTAATAATTGTAATTATATTTATTAATTGATAATTACAATGAATTGTCTACTTATAGACGAATTTTCCGTTAACTGATAACATTATAATAGAAAGTCTTAAGTGTGCAAACCGGACGGAGAGCATATATGCAGTTACCTGTACAAACACTTCATTGTGAAATGCCTTAAAGTTTCCTGCATCAATCAAAAACTCTTTTACCACAAAAAAAAGTTTGCAACACTAAAAGTATCGTAGCAATAATGATTTCGTATTTCGCTCTCTCAATTCAGTGAAAATCGTAAAAATGATTTATGACAAAGTGTAAAATGTTGTACACAGCTTTTCAGTTTTGCACAAAAAAAGGGAGAATAGTGTCGCCGATGGGCAAAAGCAGAACACAACAGAAGATGGTTGAAAAGAAAGAGGAAGTTAGGGAGGTTAGATGAGGTAGGGTAGTAGTGGATATAGGGTGTGAGAATGAAAAGAGAAGAGGATCGGTGGGGAAGAGGAGAGAGGTGCTCACTATAGGAGAGCACTCTCGTGTCGGGAGAGGAGATTCCGAGTGCTCTTGAAGTGAAAGGGAGATGGAAAATCATGAGAGTCAAAGCTAGTGTGAGAGAGATAACCAACGTCAAACTGCCGTGACTTTGTCAGCGTTCCGACTCTGTACAAGTGCGAAACGTTTCTTGCTCGTATCGTCGTTGCAAGAAAACGAGGATGTAACCAGAGAGACCAGCGAAATCGAGGTCGAACACGGCAAACCCAACAAGTACGCTTACAAGAGAAGTGTTTCAATTCGTGCACTTACAGTAGCGTATCTACCAAAAAGAAATGTTATTTTTTTGGTGTTTTTTCCTATTTGTATTAGTTTTTCTTACTTGTTTCCTTAACATTCTTTTACACTATTTGTATTTTTGTAATTTAAAACGGATCCGGTAATATTTTTTATCTTCTTGGGATCAATGTAAAGCTAAGATGCTTTTCAAAGACACGTAGTAGTAGCGTCGCATAATTATCTTCCCTAGTGTTAGTTATTAATTCAATAAATAAAAGAACAAAAAAATAATAAAAAGCTACAATCTTTCAAAAACAATAAAAATAATTATGTCTAACATTGCTTTAAAAAAAATTGCAAAACATTTCTTTCAATACGGACAAAACAGAACTATCACAAGACATAAACAAAAATAAGGAATATTCAAGATTCAAAAGGAAGAAAAAAAATTATTCTACATATTTTTTTTTATAAACAAATAATTGACGATTTATTTTTCTTTTTATCGTTGTAAATTTATCATCGTATTACAAACAGCAATTATAAAAATAAAACATAAAAATTTTGAATAAAAAATATTTCACATACAAATAATAATATTTTATCGAAATCACAATATGAATCGATACGGTCACGAGAGTCTGCGATAAAGTATTCTTTGTCAAAGATAAATAATTTTGATCAAGTTGCAATCGAAAGCGCTAACGTCCGATTAGGAGGAGAGATAGAGAGGAAGAAAGTGGTGCGTGATGGATAATTATTGTGATAAGGGGTGATGATAAGACAACTGGGGTCCAAACTCTCTCCCACCCTTTCCATCACTCAATCTCTCTGAGAGCAATTTAAACAAGATAAGATAACGAAATGCTTGTATCACGAAAGCGGAAGTACCGATTACATGCTCAGATATCAGGGTGTTAGCAAAGTTTACATATACATATATATATGTACACACGCAAAAATTTTCTATTCTATCCTATAACGAAAATCACTCTCTTCGAAAACATTCCCGTATATCTTGACAAGAGCTGGTACGTGCTGTTGATACATAAAACGGAACGAAAAGTTTTTAGCAACAATTCTTTTTCCTCTTCCTCCTCCATTTGTTGGAAACGAAAAATTCAGACAGTACAGCGTCAGCGAAGATTGCCTCGTGTGAAGAAATGATGTTATCCTATCAACGTGACATTGTCTGAAGATAAACGACGAGAACATTTATGTAAGACTTTGAAAAATTCCAACAAAAATTGAAAATACAAGGTTCTTTTTTCCAAGTAGAAAGAAAAATCTTGACTTTAGCAAAATAAAAACAAAAAAAGTATTAAAAAAAAAAGAAGTACCGCTTTATTCGTCGTCATCCATTATTCAAAGTTTCCTTCTTTTAGGTGATGTTTTTTTGCCAAGGTGATTTTTTTTTCTGTACCTCATCTGATGAAGATTTAAATAAAAATTGAAATTCATAGGTAAAGGTAATTTACCTCCATTAGGTTTGATGTCCTCATTTTGTCCTCGATGGAGATCTGGTTTTGGCATTATTGATAAAGGATGAGCGGAATTTCCACCGGGATTTGCTCCGCCGGGAATGCCTAGGCCAAGGAGTGCTGCCGAGGCGGAAGTTGGAACTGGAATTCCAGGACCAAGGCCAGGAAGACCTGCCAGTCCTGGATGTGGACCAATTGCAGCTGTCGGTGGCATCTGTTGAGCGAATATTCTCGGTACTTCCGGCCTTTGTTGCTGTAACAAAAAGAAAATTTTGATTACACTTGTGAAAGAAGCGATGAAATTATATAAAAAAAATGTTGAAATACAACGATAATTGTAGATATTAATATTAGAAAGGCCCGTCATCGTCTCAGGTGAAAGAGGCCCCCATTCACCTGGGGTGAAAAGTAAAAAGGAAAAAACACCAAAAAAATAACATTTTATTTTTGGTTAACAATAATTTTTCAGTTGCGTAATTTAGGACGCATCTTCAAAAACATTGGGCCACAGGCTACGAAATCAAAAAGGAAAAGAAATATGTGAATACATATCAAAGTAGTACAATAACAGGAGAGCAGAAAACATGGCAGTAATCCAGACAGGTCTGGGCGACTGTTGTCGTATGCATGAGCGCAAAGGATTCGTTAGAAGAGTCTGTTTGTGGAACGTGCCTCGGGAAGCCGCGGATAAATAAATAAATTCGCATGTTTCACTGAAAAAGTAGATTTCCCGGTACAGCAAACTCGAATGTTGCTGACTGCTGCTGCTGCCGTGCGTGGGTGGTTGGAAAAAAATAATTTTGTTTGCTGCTGAAAAAGGAATGCACTGGATATATTTTATTGAACCATATACATATAGATATATACAAATACACCCAGACTTACAGAACAGAAGTTAAACATAAAAAGCGGATAGCTGCCAATGTGAAATAGTGCTAAAACCGTTAAAACCAATTTAGCTAAATTGATGAAAGCGCAAAATCGTTCATCCTTGAAAGTAACTCGTTTTTAGAATTCCTTCGATATTTAACGAGCGACAAATATACAGCGGATTTAATTGACAAAGCAGCTAAATGCCAAATCAGTTTTTACCCTATTTGTATCCGTGTCTGTATATATATGTATATTGCTAATAAAATTAATCTCTCGATATGCCAATAAATATTGGAAAAGTTAAATCACAGTGAATGGGAATGTTTTGTTCAATTTTAGAATTGTGAGTGCTGTACTCGGAAATTAGCGGAGCGTCAACGGTGGCGCTAGTAGTCAGAATCGTTTTTTGATCTTCCTGAGGACTTTAAGGCCAACTCCTAAAAAATTAGTTCGGTAAACTGCATTTCCTGAGAAAGCGTTTTATTGCTATAATAGTTGTTCCATTTCTGCTAGGGGTATAACTATAAACGAAATTAATCAACTCTCGGGTATAAAATCGTGAGACGAATACATAATGTCAGTTTGTGTAACAAAAAGGGAAATTGAAGTCGTAGAACGATAGAATAATTCTCGAGGGAATTCACAGCAGCAAGTTCTCGCATTAGCGCGTGACGTACTCCAATTAAGCGCAGGAACAACTTTCGACAACAAAGATGAAGACTGTTACGGAATCGCGAAGTCGATAATTATAACCGAATGTATATATATATATATATATATGTATATATTTATAAGACCTTCGAGTTTCAGGGCGGAAGTAAAGAGGAGGTAATAAACTCGGCGAGAACGCGCGCGCCTCTAAACTAAAACCGAGCATTTTGGCGTAGTGGTATAACCGATGTTAGGGACTGAAGTTGTACCTAAGGGAAATTGTGCAGGCAGTCCGCTGCCAGACAAATCGTAAACTGGCTCAACTGTGTTTTAACGGTTCGAAGAGCGTGTCGGTTAAGACGAGATCGTACGTGTACACTCGTTAGACAGGGCAGAGGCAACTTTGTGTGGGTGTAAGGGAGAATATATATATATAGAGAGAGTGAGGGAGAATATGAGGGGAATGGAGAGATACTGTGAACAAGGTATGGGTGGAAGTGGAAAACGAGGATGGAGGCGAATATTCCGGGGAGTAGTTTGCCGAGATAATTAAATGGCTTAACGATATAATAACCCCGCGTCGAGCGGCTGACTCTACATCCAACACTTACACGCTTGTTTCCTGATCCACACACTCTCATAAATGATTATATCCTGCTTACATATATATATACACACCCACCCAAAAACGCAAACACTGTTTGTACACAAAATATCCCTTTAAAATCAAGGGTGCACAATTTATCATCCTGTTTTCTGTCAGTATTTGTTGTTGGATTTATACACACTCTTTATAGTTGGGGTGCATAATTTATCTCTTAAGATATTGCAAGCCTTGTTAAAGTTAAAGTATAGAAGAATAGGAAGAATGATTAAATTCTGATGTATCGATTTAAGTCGCTTAGACCAATGATTTATTAGGTTTTTGGGGATTTGGAGCAAGTATCAACTATAAATTGGATTACAATGAAAAAAGAGTGGAAGTAGGTTCCCTTCCACTACTTCCACTCTTTTTTCACTTCTATTAGAGGCGAAGGTGGCGAAAGGTTCAAACTGATGATCAGATCCTTTGAGGATTCATGGGTCCATAATCCTAATCCTAATGGAGGTATCCTAATACCAAAATATAATCAATTTGAAACAGTCATCGGACGATTAGGTCCTTTGCGGATTCCTGGGTCCATAGAGGACTCCTAATCCTAATAGAGGTATCCTAATACAAAAATATAATCCATTTGAAACAGTCATCGGACGATTAGGTCCTTTGCAGATTCGATGGATATGTCCCAATCCTAATGGAGGTATCCTCACAACAAAATATAATCAATTTGAAACAATTCGTCATCGGGTTTGAAAAAGAATGCAAGAAGAATGGTACTCAATGAAATGGAGAAGTAGTTAGTTGCACTCGTACGACCATAAGTTGTCCATATGACGTTCTATGTCTGTCCCAGAGACCAAAAGTTTCTATGAACCCATAATTTTACAATCAGCATACCGAGCGTCAATTTCTTCTTTAACAAAACTTAATAATACTTAATAACAATTCATTTTCCGCAGAAGACAAATCCTTAAATACCAAATCAGAAAAGATAGCATAGTCTCTTTAAGAGCCCCGAGCACCTGCGACTTCTTGGCAACTTCGATCTCAGCATTTTTAGTTTGGCCATTGTTTGCTGACTCAGCTATATGATTGCGAAGCACCAAGACCCCAACCGAAGTGAAAAGCTTTCAGTTTTTTCGGATATTGGCCGATCCACTTGGAATACATTATTTTTTCCCGCAGCTCCTCCAAAAAGTTTCTCTAAATTCGACACATTAATTTATCTTTCTTTCAGAAGAAACTAAATAGAAAAATTTTTCACTGATTCAAATGGTTTTTGTCGAAGCTATTCGAAAAGAAATGTGGGAGATAATTCTTGATAACCATATACATATCAGTCCTGTAATAAATATTTCAATTAAAAAGTAAAATAACTCTCGATACTTTGTTAATCAAGAGATATAATTATAAATTGTTGACCTCAAATCTCTGATAAGAATATCTCGAGAGAGAAAAGTAATTACGCAATACAATCTAGAAAGGCATAATGAATAACGTGAAACATTTTCGAAATTCTAATTTTCAGAATAAAGTTGAATATTTGAGATTCCATTTCCATGAATCTCTATATCAAATAGGGCCTTTAACAATCGTGGTACAAAGTGATGACAACAAGAGATGTCTCTTTGCCCGACACACATACACAGCAGGAAATTGCAGTTCTATTGACTGTGAAAACCGTATCGTCGTTTCATAACATTCTTTTTCAAACTGGGATAAAGGAATTCTTATTCCTTTCGCTAACAGCAATTCTGATTGAGTTGAAAGTGACTCGGCTGGAAAGCTCATGCTGAAATAAATTGCACTTATTTGAGACTTGGATAAAATTGGAATAGACGTCTTCAAGGTTTATATATATACACAACCTCTAGAATAGTTGTAGGTCCTCCTTTTCGGGAGGTTGGATCTCTTTAAAGGGGGTTAGTAATCTCTCAAGCATCCGTACCTGAATCTAAAGGAAAAAAACAGGAATAAGGAGGGAAAATAGAAAAATGGAGAAATGCGAAGAGAGAAATAAGGGGGTCGCAAGTTTCCATTCTTGGCTTGAGTTTCATTCCATGAGAGTTTGAATCTCGTTTTTCCAAGTTGAGTTTCCTGTTGTCAAACGGAGCGTCGCGTTGAGGCTCAAAAGAGGAAGATGGAAGGAGAGGGTGAGGACTGGAAAGGACTAGGAATGAAGAAGATGAGAATGGTTATAGGACCGGGTTAAGAGGGTTGGAATCCTGGGGATTCTGCTAAGGATTTGCTGCACGTAGCGACAACGCTGTGGATCTGAAGGAGCATCTCTCTCTCTCACTCGCTCTCTATTTTGTCCCCATACTACCTTCCAAGAAACTCACCCTCTGGAAGAAGCAGGAATCCTGATTAGTCGGTGCTCGTGCGCCATAACACTATAACCTATCTGGCCAAGAACCCGAGGAAGATTCCGGTATAAGATTCGTAAGGGAGTGTGGGTTAGAGGAGTCTGACTTGAGATGAGGGAGAGAAAGAGATGGAGGAACGGAACTTGAATGTCGGTAAAGGAAGATGGGAAAGGGGGGTTAAGGAGAGGGACGAGAGAGAGAAGCCGGCGGCTTAATAGGGAGGAAATTGAGTGCTCGAGCAATATTGAAGAGGATTCGGGATTCGCGAGGATCGAGGGAAGGAACGTATCCATCCGCCCGCTTTTGGATTCCTCTGGCGTGCATCGACTTCCTTTAGCTTGGTCGACTCGGCACGATCAGCGGTTCTCATTCGTCGTTGTGGTTTTGGATAATACACGTGGGAAATTCACGTACGATAAATACGGTTAAGAACGCTTCTCAACATTCCGTTCAAGTAGTACGTGAATTTCGTTTCAACAAGATTCTACAATAAGCACAATTCTTTTTAATCTTCACTTTGGCGAGCATTTAATCTAATCCTAACTAAAATGAGCATGATACGAATATCGTTATCTTTAGCTGGATTTTGAAGATCTCTAGTAGACTCAACAAGATGGGCAAGGCAGACTTTAAAAACTGTGTCAACATCATTCCGAAAAGTGGAAGAGAATATTATACACTTCGCCAACTGAAAATCACAATTTGCTTCAATATCACTTTGACTAATATAATCTCCCCAAAGAATAATCCCAGTTGCAAAGAAATAATTGTTAACACATTAAAATAAACTTACCCCGATAATGGCATTGAGTTCTGACACCGTCACTTGTTTTGCTCTTTCAACTGCAGTGGCCACTTGTTGTTGATGCTCTTGCGAGAGATAAGGCAAAATCTGAGCAATGATAGCGTTCAATCTCTTCGCAATTTCAGTCTGTAAAAAAACAATATTAATTAACAATTTATTAGAGAGAAGTCATAAAAAGTAATAACGAAAAAACATTAATATCACTCCCATGAAAATGTCCCCGATAATTACATTACAAAATTAAATATTTTAGTATAAGGAAAGAGTTCTATGTTCATTATTTTTTCTCTTCGAAATTCGTAGTATATATCAATATTTGTTAACAGCAAAGATTTGAGGAAATGGTTTATGATTTGAATTCAGGTGAAGTTTGTTGGAGTAAACGTCGTCAAGGTATACATTGATGCGCACGCGTCAACTAAGTAATTAATTTGAACTGAGGTAGTACACGAGACTTGCGATACAGAGTATATACTTGGAGGGCGTAATCCCCTATTTCAACGAACAGTTTAATGCGCGTGGAGAGACCGATACTGGTCTTTCAACACACATAAACTAATTGCATACATTTAACCGCACAGTTCTGTGTAATCAGTGACTCTCGCGATTTCCAGACTAAACCTATTCAGCATTGTAAATTACCGCAAACAACCAATTACAAGCTTGATTCACAAATATATGAAATACAAAATAGAATTTGAAAAAGTGAATATTTTCCCGGCTTTGAAAAAAAATTTACCCAGTTACGTTAAATAGAGTTGTAAATTATAATTATACTGCCACTTTGAATATTAATTTAGATGCCTTATTTTTTTGTTTTCTTTTTTTCATTCGAGGGGGAAATTACGTCAAGGTAATTTCTCTCTGATTTTAATTTACTCGGTGAGAGAACGGGACAGTCGTATTAGCTACTGAAGAACGAGATGAGTGCAGGTGCAAGCATCAAATCGTATCGAGGGTGTTTACAACTCCTCTTCGTAAAGCGCCCCTGGCAGAAGAGACTGACAGGAATTAAATTAGATTCTGGCGGAGTTGCCAGTGGCGCAGACTTGTCGTGGTTCAATCTTCAGTCTACCAATATCAAATGATTGTGGCATTTCCCTATTACATTTTTGCCCACTTTTTTTATTAGATTGACTTATTAATTCTAAATCCCATTAGAGGTTATTCTAATCTAAAAAATTTGAGAGTTACTATTTAAACTCGAGGTTAATAAAAGCATTCAATTTCTTGAGGGATCATAACAGGGGGATCATGCTAGCACAACAAGATAGACTATGCCCAGAATGCAAGAAGACTGGTGCTTATATAGACGCTAATTGCCAAGGGGATTGGTAGGGGTATTTTGATACGCTGTCCAATGACGGTAGGAGAAACTAGTCTTTCTCTCCGGTCCGTGCGTCTTCTTAAGACTAACTGTTCCAATAGATATTTTACTAATTTAATAACTACGGCAAGTTGAACTATAGTCACCAATTAGACAAATTGTAGTAAATACAGTTTTAAAAATAATTCCTCCAATTTTCTATAAATAAAAATTCAACATTATTGTTGTGAGTAACAACACAAAGCTAATTAGCATCCGCAGAGTGAAATACAACAGCCAAAGGCATATTTTCCGCGACGGGAGTAATTTGTGACAAAATAAGTAACGATACGATACTAATGCTCTCAAGTGTGAATCCAAAGTGTGGAAACTGAAATGTGAATAAATGTATATGTACGTGGGTCGTGGCATCGCATAAGTCGTTCCTGTAAATGTGGTTCTCTTTGCCTATCGTGTTCCCTTTCACTGCCGTTTAAACGAGCGGTAGATGCTAATTGAAATATCGCGGCCACTGAAATTCTTGGCAAGTTTCCCTCTCGAGTCACGAGCGCACAACGAACACGAATAAGGGAGACGAGGGATGAGGAAGAAAAAGGGAGAAGCAGAGGCAAAATGAAAGTGGTAAAAAGAGCTGGATTAAAGTGGAAGAGAAAGAGAGAGAAAGAGGAAACTGGGAGTTGTTGTTTTAATTACCCGTCGCCCTCCGAGTGGCAGTCATTAAGCCACTAATTATAACGTACGCGAAAATGAGTTGAGCCATCCGCGTAAGAGGAAGGAGGACGGAAGTTGCGCTGTCAGCGAGAGTAAAGTGAGATAACAATAGAGGAAAAAGAGAGAGAGAGAGAGAGAGAGAGAGAGAGAGAGAGAGAGAGAGAGAGAGTAGAGAACTGGGAAATTGTAGTAGTAAAAGCTGGCTCGAGGGTTGGAAAAGAGTAGAAGAGAAAACCAGTGGATGGGGTAGCCGTTGCAGACGTAATTGCGTTGCCGAGAAGTTTTCCTTGGGTGAGAGAGGTAACCATGAAAATAATGAATGGGGTAGGTGCGGCATGGCATGGCAAGGCACACCAGTCTCTTCGTCTTTCAGCCAACTCTAAAAAGGGTGTCCTTTTCAGGGCCGTATAAACTATCGCGTCATTTCTCGCTTGTTCAGAAACTTTTCCAAGACAATAAACGCCGCCTACTGGCGAAAACGTTTCCACGTACTACATGCATTAAGACACTCCTATTATAAAGTTTGCAAGAACAAAAATATATTTTATCTACTCCCGACAACATCTTAACACCCGGACCTCTATATTTACCAACTCGTTTATCACCCATTTAACTTCATTCTCATATTATTTAAATGGCAAACTCCTCCTGGATAATGAGAAATAAAACACTTTGTCGACTTCAGGAAAATGCTTCCCATTGCGTTCGGATCACATTCCGAATAAGATGAAATGAACAAAAGCGAACTGTTCAGCTAGTGGCCACCGTTCTTCAAGTCAAGACGTCCAACACCATCAACAATTAATTTCAATACTTTAGGAAAAATAATTTTGTAATTTATACAATCGAATACTATTTAAAAATACTCAAACAAATTTCTCCCCAGATTCCCCTTTACTTCCATAATTTTAGTCAATCTCAAACTATCATAAAGAAAATAATTCGCAAAGACTCGTTTTCAATGCGATCATATTGTGACCGATATTGCACATATCTATAACTATATAGATGTTTCACGAAAAGCTTGACAGTAAAATAGAAGTGAACTGGTATGAAAATGCAAAGTGACGAAGTGTGACGATAAAATTCCTCGCCTGTAAAACGTTGACGTGAATCGAATGCTTTCGTCGTCTACGACGTCTTCACTGCAGTTGTTGTACACCCCATACCACAAAGTCTCCCCTTCTCGATACTTCGATAATCCGATACCCCGAGGTACACCTCGAATCCCGTTGCTCGTATACGATTCATTCTCCAACCCCTCAACACTCTAAACCTCTCACCCACCCAATCGTTCGTCTCGAGTGTGGAAAAGTCAGGACCGTAAAGTGCGCGGGTACACTATACGAAATTGAGACGATTCATATATTTTTTTTCTACTTTCAACGATGTTGCTGAATAGTTGATATTTCATTTCTCTTCTATTAAAAATATTTCCTCTATTTCAATAATAAAATTAATGTCACTATAATAGAATATTGATGTGACAATAAAGTGACATTTATTAGATATCAAATGATTTATGAAATATTTTTTATCCTGTTTTTGAAGAAAATAGAAATGGCCATTGATCGTGATATTAAATAACACTCTATATTTATAGTATTATTAATTTGCCGCGCTTGAATTTCACAAATGATCAAGTTTTGTTTTTTTATTGAGTTTTCAAATGGAAAAAGTTCAAATTATCACACAAGCGCATATTAGTCTTTCTCTGCTTGGTTAATGTATGTATTTTGTTCCGACGATAATTGAAAACTACTGACTCGTTTGCAATTCCGTGTCAGAACTTAATTTAGAGAGTTGCCTCGTTGAAAATCGATATGATACAGAAAATTCGTTTCGTGACACGCTATAATAAAAAAACGGTTATATAAACAATGAGGGAAATATTTCCATCGAATTCAAAATAGTGAAAAGAAAATTTTTTTTTTAGAGAAATTTTTTTTTCTCCTTGGGAAAATTTTGAAAAACCACTTGACTGTATTTTTTGTTTAGACAAAGCAAGGAGAGACAAGTTGAATTGCATCAGGCTAGGCTATTGGCTCTGGCAGTTTATACAATTGCCAGTGAGAGAACGTGCACGTGCGAGGGAGCAAAAGTGAAGTGGGGTTTGGGGGGGTGGATAAGTGGTCCTCATCTTCGCATGAAGGTAAAGAGAAGGCGAAGAGGGGGAAGGGGAGCAATCGAGAACATGAAGGATCTGACAGACGGCAAAAGATCGGGATGTTTGGATGTTTGAACTTCGGAGTGCTACGTCAGCACTTGAACCTCTCTCATCCAAGTCCTCTTCTTGACTCACTCTCTCTTCCCTATCTGCCGATAATATAATACTCTTGTACTAGACGACCAAGTCATGGCTAAGTGGTCTGCATATATATCATATTGCTTATTATTCGCGAGCAAAAACGAAAAGCAAAATTTGTACTTTCCATTTGGAGGTAAAATTGAAAACCTCTTACCACTCTTCGAATATCCCCCTCCCGGACACCAGTAAAAACTTTGTTCAGGTGAATTTCTGAGCTAATGACAAAATAATGTAAGGTTAGGTTATTCAAGTCAACCTTATTTTTGAATTACCATGGATTCAATAGGTGGGAACCATCCCCCCACTCTAATTTTCGAACGGGTCACTCACCTGACGAGCAGAAGTCAGTTTGGAACTACGCTTCAACTGCTGCGGATGTTCTTATTTTTGATTAAGTATTGTATTAAGTGTTCTTTTCTCGCCATCATTTAATTGTTTGTATTTCCATATTTAATTGTTATATTTCTTTTGTTTTGCTGCACTGTTGTGAGTTTCGGCCCTTCAGTGTTGGTTGTTCATTTATTTATTACAGTTTGCTTATAACACTGTCGTGAAATTCTGCCCTTCAGTGTTATATATCTGTAACTAATTTAGTTAAACGTGTTTAATCATTCTTGAACATATATTTAGCAATTATTTCCGTTTTGCCACGCTGTCGTGGGACTTTGCCCATCAGTGTAGAATTAATTATTTAAAAAAAAAAGTTATTAGATTAAAGTTCTGATTACGGTGAATTTATTGATGTGACAAACTGGCATTCTTGAAGGAGTTCATTACAGA